GAGTTTAAGGAAGTAGGCTACATGCAACTGGCGAAAAATCAGCCAAACAGACGTAAATAAGACGCGAACAGTGAGTGACAGACATACTAGAGATTTATGACGAAGAAGTGAAAGAAAGATTGATTCCAAGGGGGACAGCGGACGGCTGCAAAGAAGGTACTCAAAACAGTAACGATGTACATACAATTGGGCAGGATGGGGACTCGGTGCATTACATCTTTCCTTTGGCTTTTGTGTTCCGTGGAGGGGTAACTGGCCGACTTCCTGTGCCAATTCCAACGCAATACTTCTTTTTTTCAGCTGGCTTCAGAATCTAAAAGAAGCGAAAAAAATAAAATCACAAGTCAGTCAGTCGGAGTTAAAAACGAGTTGTTTCATAGTTAAAATAAATTTTCCCGAAAAATCCAGGTGTTAAACAACTATCAAAGCCAGTTTACGAATAACAGTTTTGTATTAATAGAAATTGACTAAAGCAATTTATTAAAATAGAACTATGGAGGAATGTAACAGGTAACATAAACGCAAATTCGGTAAATAAATTAGACTTGTAGCAACTTCATAAAATCCGACGAATAATAATTGTCTGGAATCAGTGAATTATGTACCATATGGTCTGTACGATTGACTCCACTTTCACATCAAGTTAAAATTACCTAGTTTCCATATTTCACATTCAAAGAAGCAAAAGACACACAGAAAGGTTAGCCAATTAAGGAACGAGGCATAATGAATGACACTTGAACGTAAACTAGTTCACCTTTTACTTATGACCTTAAATTGAACTTTGGGTAGACGGATGAGTAAAGAAGTTGTTCGAAAAATCTTACTCATTGGGCCCAAAAGACTCCCAGGACATAAAAACAATTGTCATTGCTTCGGGCTTAAAACGATGGGGGTACAGATAGTTATTTGGGCTATGCAAAAGCGGCCGCCCAAAGGAGAGGCTATCATTAATATTTATATTAATAGTCGAGCAAAAAATGTATAGGATGATATATGGAAAGTGTGAATCCGTAGAACGGAAAGCTTTTTAAACTGAAATTGTCAGAAATAATTCTAATTCCCTGTCCTAAGCAAGAGAAAAAAAAGGAATCTAAGCAAGATTCACCTTAAAAGTTCCAGGAGATTTTGGAATTGTCATACAGTGATTTGAATATAGAACTCAATGTGCTTTAGATATGCACAACCGTTACAGACAACTAATGTAAGGCAAATGCGAAGCTATAAGGGGAAAAGGATATATGGACTGCATATTTAAAGATGCGTAAGGGAAAAGCTTTAGAGGCATAGGAATAAAACGTAAAGTCTAGTCTTTTTAGGCGCATATGGATTAGAATAAAAGTAGCCGAATCTATATGCGATTTCAGATAGTCCATTTAAAAAAACACTGCGCTTTTTGTTCCCGGAAACAGAAATAAAATGGAGTAATAATTAGTGGAAGATTCTTAGAGGTTAATTTAAATTTAGACCAAACATTAAAAGACAGCGCAGTGATGATTTGCATCAAAAGGCGCTAAGCTTATTTCTATAAATTATCAAATAAGAGGAATATAACTCTGATTAGCAGAAATTATTTGTATATTATCAAAATCAATACAATAAACCTGGGACCTCTAGAAGTTATAATCAAGGCGATATGTGAGACATATCGATATTATATGAAGGATACAAGCAATTCAAGAATTTAGGCCAACATCACATGCTGACTTTACCTAAATGAGCCAAATATCACCCGTTAAGAGGCACTTATATGGGGCATAATAACGATGTGTAGTTAGAAAACAGTACTACTCAAAAAGACTAATTTTAGCGATCTGGACAGGAAAAAAAATCGAGTCAATAATAATTGAGCAAAATTAGACTGTTTCATGAGACCCAAGAAAAACAAATATATGATAATATACCTAAAAACCTATATTCAGGAAGTGACGAATCCTGATAGACATTAAAAAATAACGAACTAATAGACTTACATCAACTTATATATATATATATATAAAGCTAGGATATTCTCTCGGATATTTCACTCTCAATATTATGACTGAGTGAATATATACTGGCTTCTAGTTCCATTGGATGAGTAACAACAAATGCAAAAGGAAGAACATTTGTGTAAATTCAATATTATATATCCCATAGAAAATAAAGGCTCATACAATTTTCAGTATTAATCTAGATTATGAACAAATTACGCATAGCAGAACTTTGAAGTTTTGCTTCACCAAGTTTAAGGCAAGAATCCATTATACGACCGAATAAGCCGATGGAAGGATAGCCAAATTAACTATTAGATCAATAGAAATTATAAAAATGGGAAGACAAAATGTATCTCCAAAAGCAAAGCTATCTGCAGAGAAAGCAAAAGGTGAAGTGGTGCTCATATCAAAAGGAAAATACAATAATAAGAATAGAATCAAGAAATGAGATAATGAGTACAATTACTGACCCGTGAGGGACAATGACATAAAATTAGCACCCACCTGGAAGGAGCACAAAAGGGTGTCATCAACGGACATCATAGCTCCGGCATTATCAAATTCTCCGCAATAGTTAGGGGCAGAGAATAGCGTAACCAACTGGCGCTTTGCGAAAAATTCGTATCCATCCTCAACAACCTAGCAAACATGTATAATAAAGCAATTGA